GAATCCTTTACAGTTTCAGTACAGATACCTTACAAGAAGAAATAATTCATGTTCATGAATCTTCATCTTCTCTACTTTCCTGTTCTAATTCACTTTACAGGAAGTGTTCGAGTTCAAAGACCACTTACGTTAAGCAGAGAACATAAATGACTCATCAGTACGTTACGTCGAAGGATGAGATGTGGACACACCAGAGTAAGTCCTTTATTTTGATGGAGAGGAGGGCGCAATCTGAAAGCCTTCTTGCGCCATTGAAATTTTCTGCAACGGCATAGGACGATGACCATTTTCTCTGGTGTGCAAAAAAATTCACTGGAAAAATTCATTTTAGAAAAGTAAAATTGTCCTGTAAACACGATATAGCCTAATTTATATAAAAATGGAGAAACACAAGTCTTAACTTTGAATTTTTCATTCAGTCTTAGAATAAAGTTCAGTAAGATTCACTCCAGAACATATTTGATGTATTCTTAACGATAGTAGCGAGTTACCTACTTTTAATTTTGTCCGAAAGAGACTAAGGGGTTTAAGCTTCTCGCTGTATCTTCAGATGTTTTTCAACGTTGGATATTGGCTTCTGTATGACACTTCTAGGTAGATCTGTTCGTTCATCTACGGTTCCAGGTAATGTTGGGTTTTTTTGTTTCCAAAAAGTCCTTCTTTGACTCCTTGTAAACTATCAAATAGCCTGCATACAGCGTATGAATGAGCCAGTGGCCAGAACTTTCCACTAACACGAAAGAACAATATGCCATCAATAACAGTTTTAATGTTTATATAAACAAATAGAAAAAGGAACGGAAGAAAGACGTGCATAAAACTTAAAACATCGAATAACAACAACATTTGATCACTATCTCATGTGAGAAAAGTCATTGAAAGTCATGACAAAGTCTTTATTCAAAACATTAAATTAAAAATTTTGCAACAAATATCTGCAAGTCACCGGTAATGGAAACTGGTGTCAGTCTCATAACTTTTAGAAACTTTAAATGACGTAACTGATTAGAATGCGAAGTAGCGTTTAAATGTAAAAACAAATGTTACAGGTTAACTAAACAATAGAAAGAATAATAAATAAACAGAAAACAAAAACCATAACGAAATAAAAGTAGAATTTGCTACCTCGTATTCCTTCCCCGTTCGAAAATCGACGTGATCACATTAATCACTGCATATAAATTACCAGTTTTAGTACCCTTACTATTAATGATCTCATTATACTGACACTATGAATCCTGCCCAGTTTAAGTACTTATACCTTACAAAGAAAAAACGTAGCGTTCTCAGATCTTCAGCTTCTTTACCTTCTGCTCCGATTCAGGTTACGGGAAGTTAAGTCCAAAGACCAGCAAAGTTGCTATAATTAATTAGATGAAGAGATTTGAAATAATGTGTTCATTATTTATGTATTCATTACCAACATTAACATCTAAGTCACCGTTATAAGAAACTGGAGTCGGTCTCATAATTCAAATTTAAAATTGATGTGAACAACTAAAATGCAAATTTACAGATTGACTAAATGATAATAGAATGAGAAATAACTAAACAAATTCAAAACGAAATAAAATTAAACTTTCTATTTCACTCTTCCCCCCCCCCCTCCTTTAGAAGTGATTACATTAATCAGTTTAAAATTAAGTCCTTACTTGTAACGTTATACTGACATCCTTTACAGTTTGAATACGGATGCAGTTCAAGGATGAAACTATTTTCTTATATATTCGACTTTATCTGCAATAATTAAATAACAAATGATATACATACTATTTACCAATATTAATATCTGTACGTCACCGATAGGGGAAACTGATGTCAGTCTCATAATTCATAAATTAAAAATTGGTGCGATTAGCTAGAAGGTGAGTTAGCGTTGAAGTGCAAATAAAAATCCAGAGCTTAACTAAACGACAGAATGAATAAACGAACGGTAAAGAAATCCATAACAAAAGAATATGCTATCTCACACTCCTTCCGCTTTAGACAAAGAATGTGATAATATTAAATCACTGCTTATAAATTCCCAATTTTCATATCCTTACTTTTAAAGCCATCGTTATACTGACATTATGAATCCCCCTACAGTTAAGTACAGATACTAGGACAAGTTGTTTGTGTTTTTCACTCTTCAGATTGATTAGTTTCCTGCTGTAGTTCCCCTTACATGGAGTGTTTGACTTCGAAGACCATTTAGGTTGAGCAGATGATTCGTTAAGTCGAAGGAAGAGATGTGGACACATCAAAACAATTCTCTTGTTAGAAAGGAGGCACTCTAAGCCTTCTGTCGCCACTTATTTTTCTGCAACGACATAGAACGATGAACATTTTCTGGTATAGAAACAATTCTGTCGAGAAAATATTTTCTTCACTTTAGACAAGTAAAATTGTTCTACCATTAAATTGATTTTAATATAAAAAAATGGAGTAACATAAATAATAAGTTTAGATTTTTCATTACATCTTAAGATAAAAAAAATACAGGATATAATAAATATATTCTTAATAACAGCAGTAGTAAATTAGCTACTTTTAATTGTGTCCGAAAGATACTAACGGTTGTAAGCTTCTCGCTGTAGCTTCCGATGTATTTCAACTTTAGATATTGTCTGTTTAATATCTGTAAATAGTTCTGTTCGTTCTTCTACGGTTGCAGGTGGCGTTTAGTATTTTAGTTGTTTCCAAGAAGTTTTTTTTTTTTACCCCTTATAAAACTATACAGATTAGAAGTAATTTATGGATATTCCCATTGC